TGTTCAGTATCACAGCAACACACAAGCCTCCACTGACAGACAGGTGATGGCTGTTCATGAGGTGCATTGGCTGGGAATCAAACCTGAGTCTCCCCTATGGAAGCTGAGAATTCTACCACTGAACCACCAAAGCCTCATGGTGGCATGCAATGAGGGAACAAAATATACACTGCCCCTGTTCTCATACAGATATTGGATGAGTAAGGGAGACAGATGGCAGAGTCCTGTTAGAAATGGGCTGTGTGGCTTTGGGCTAGTCCCTTCCTGTCTCTGGGCTTTGAGGTTTAATCTTGTTCTCCACCCCTAACCCCCTGCTTAAATACCTCTGCTGACCACTCATTGCTCACAGAGCAAGGTGAGCATCTTTGGCATGGTATCCAAGGTCCCTTAGTGTTGGGCTCTGGTCGATGTTAATCAGCATGCCCTGCCCACTCTCCTACCCTCCTTCTTCCCCATTTTAATTTAACCAACACTCATATGACCCTTTCTAAGTGCCAGGCACGGTCTAAACACTTCTCAAATTTTAACTTGTTTAATCCTTGCAGGAACCCCCTGAAATAAGTATTGTTATTCTCATCATCTCTATTGTAAAGATGAGGACACCGAGACACATAGAGGTAAGCAAACTGTCTAAGCCCACCCAGCTACTCAAAGGCATGGATGGGATTTGAACGCAGGCGGCCTGGCTCCTGGTCCAGGCACTTCATGACTACATGAGACCACCTTTCCATACACGCTGGCAAAGGCCCCGCTGCTCTCATCTTCCAGGTACAGCTCAACAGCCATTGCCCACCTCCAGGAAGTCTTCCCTGATGCCTCTTAGGCTGAATTAATTCTTTGCGCCTCTGGGTTCCCACAATGTCCTGCACATCCCTTCCCCATGGCAGCCCTTATCACAAGGCACCGTTACGCTTGCCTGTGTACTATTTCTTCTGCTAGATGCTGAGCACCTCAAAGGGGGAGGCTGTGCCTCTCTGTCTCCCATGTGCTCAGCCCAGCATCTCCATACCATGCAACCAGAGACATTTAAAATAACAAACAGTTTTTACCATTCCCTTGCTTAAAACCACCCAGTGACCAACCTTTCGTTGTATTTAGAATAAAAATCTCTTCTCCTAAGCATGGCCTGGAAGCAGTGCATGATTCCGTCCCTGACCCCTCCTGCCCTCATTTGTTATCATTCTCCCCTCAGTCACTCTGCTGAAGCCACAGTAGCCTCTTGGCTGTCCCCAAACAGTCCAGGCACACATTAGGGCCTCTGCCTGAGCTACTTCCTCTGCCTGGAATGTCTGCCCTAGATCCTCAGTGACTGGCTCCTTGTTACTCAGGCCTCAGTTCCACATCACCATTGCAGACAAGCCTTCCCTGTCCTATTATGTTTGTTTATGTTTACCCTCTTCATATTTACTTTGTAATTGTTATTAACTACGTTGGCTGTGAGTCTGTAAGCTCCATGAGAACAAGGACCTGGGGTGTCTTGTTCTGCTGTATCACCAGCACCTGGGATAGTGCCTGGCATAGAGTAGCCACTCAGTGAATAAGTGTTAAAGGAAGAGTAGATCCTCACCAAGGTCGCTTTGAGATCCTACATGTTACAGTTCAGCTAGGTCCAGATACCACCACCCCACTGTCACTTTGTTGTGGTGGCTTGTGTGTTGCTGTGATGCTGGAAGCTATGACACCAGTGTTTCAAATACCAGCACGGTCACCTATGGTAGAAAGGTTTCAGTGGAGCTTCCAGACTAAGAAAGAACAGGAAGAAAGGCCTGGCAATTTACTTCTAAAAATTAGCCAAATGAAAACCCTATTAATCACAACAGTATATTGTCTGATATAGTGCTAGAAGATTAGCCCCCTCGTTTTGAAGGCACTAAGATCACCACAACAATGAAGATGTTGTGGGCCAGGCACTGTTTCATTCTGTTGTTCATGGGTTCGCCATGAGTCAGAGCTGACTTAACAGCAAATAACAACAATAGGTCCAGACAGAACACCTCTTGCCACCCTGCCCCCTCCTCCCTCCAGCCTTTTTGAGCTGAGGAGGGAAATGGCATCCCAAGTTTATGGACTGAGAAACTCTGAAGGTCAATCTTCAGGCAAAATGGTGAACTGAAAAGAACTCTAGATTATGAGCTCAAAGACCTTGGCTTTGATCTCAGTACTGTGGAACTTTGGGCAAATTCCTCTCCCTCACTAATCCTTGTCTTCCTCATCTGTAAAATGTGACTGGGGCTTGATGATTTCCGAATCCATTATTTCCATAACTGCAAACCTTCTGTATTTATGAGCTCATGATTCAGACTTCTTTGAAAGGGAAGTGCTCATGTTTTCTTTACAGAGCTCAATTTGTCTTTTGTCAGCCTTGCAAATAGCTACTGACCCATGGCACAGTGTAGGTGATGGAGATGAACAATTTTGGCTTGGCAAAGCATGTTGAGGGTGGATGCACTCCTCGTTTTTTTTCTGAAACAGTTTCTTCTAATGTATGTGGCTCATTGCCATAGCTTGATCCATCTCTCAAAACTTTCTGCTAAGGACAGGAATGCTCAGAACAGATCTAGGCGCGAAGGTCATGGTTTGAGTTAGTGACTTCCAAAATGATTCAGCATCTGAATGGCACAAGTTGTTACTGATGTTTAAATCCTTCTTTATGAAATGATCTGATGTCTTGGGTTTGCTTCAAAATAATTCAGGGTGTGTGTGTGTGATAAGAATGGGTGTGGGTATAGATGAAACGAAACTGGCCAGCTGTTGAAGCTGGATGATGAGTATGTGGGGGTTTATTATACTATTCTTTCTCTTTTTTAAATATATTTGTAATATTTCATAACAAAAGGCTCTTTGGAGACTGGCTCCAGCCTTTCTCTCCACCCTTCATTTCACAATCCCCATCCTGAGTACCCTCTGGCACCATGACATCACACTGGTGGCTGTGATTTCACACCGCTAGGCCTTTACATACAGTTCCATCTGTCTGAGGTCCTTCTCATCCTTCCCCGTAGTTAACTACTCCTGCCTCTAAGATCCCACAGCCTGCTATGTGGTTGTTGTGTACTGCCAAGTGGATTCCAACTCATAGTGATCCTATATGATAGAATAGAACTGCCCCATAGGGGTTTCTAGGCTATATTCTTTAGTGGAGTAGATCACCAGGTCTTTTGTCCCTCAGAGTGGCTGGCAGGTTAGTGGCCAAGTGCCATTGTATCACCAGGGCTCCTTACAACCTGTTATACACATCTCTATTATAGCGCTTATCACATCATATTGCAACGGTTTGTTTTCTTTCTCTCTGTTCTCTGCAGTCTGTGACCTCTTCAGGACACTTTTCTGTGTCCTCAGTGCACAGCCAGTGCCTGGCACATGGCAGGTCCTCCAGAAGGAATAATAGCAATATCAGCAGTTACAATTTTTTGAGAACTTACTATGTGCTAGGTTCTGCCAGAAGCTCATTACATAGTTTTCTCATTAAATCCTACCACACATGGGCATTATTAACAGAATCACTCTCCTCTTATAGCTGAAGAAACAGTCTCAGAAGGTCACTCACCAAAGGTCACATGTTCGCAAGTCACAGGATTGAAATTTGGACTCAGAAGGGAAACCACTCTGCCCTTCTCCCTCCCACAGAGAGAGCTTTGTCTTCTCCTCACTGCGTCTGGGATTTCAAGACTTCTCTATGAATGTTACACAACAGGCCCAGCAGTTTGGGAGCCTGGGTTTTAGGCCCAGTTTCCCAAACTCCCACTCTGCTACTGAATTGCTGGGTGACCTTGGGCAAATCACCTCTGCCCCTAGGCCCCATCTCCTTGGGAGATGCTCTTTGAGCCAGAGAATCACATGACCGAGGGCCCTCCCAGCTTCTGCTCCAGATAAAACCTTCCTCTTCCACATTTGGTTTCCTGCCGCTGGGTTGGCTTCTCTGCTTGGGAACCTCCCAGCTTCTCATTCTACCTCAACCTCTTTCTTGCTAATTGCAACCTCCCAGAGCCAAGCCGCGTTCACAATCTGCTGCCCGAGTCGCCCTCTCCCCTCTTCCTTCCTGGCCGCTGGGATTTCTCCGGAGGTGGGGACGGAGCCGTGGGCCAGAAGGAGGAGAATTCTGCCTGTAGCTGCCCCGAGAGTGCGGCTTCCCCGCGGTTTCTCGGCCCCCTCCCCCCACGGAAACTCAGCCTCACACTTTCTAGGGATGTTCCGGGGACAGCCAGAGTGAGGATTGCAGCAGCCAGCCGCCACGATCTGTGCTAGCTCTCCGAGGTCCGTGGACCTGAACTTGGGTGGGGGGTGGGGTGGAGGTCTGGAGTGAAGAGGGGGCGGCGCACTCCTTCCTCCTAGCCGGGAAGCTCAGCCTAGGCCCAGCCTGTCCAACTGGAAGCGGGACCCTTCTGTGCCTGTCTTCCCTCCTGCCGTCCTTCTGACTCCCAGCTGGGACCCGCCATTGCACGGCCAGGCCTTGGCGAGCTGCAAACCCAAGCCAGAGACGCGCAGCTCTCACTACGCCCCCTTTCCCAAGTCCGCTCCTGACATTGCTCTGGGGGAAGCCTAAATCCCCCAATCGATACAACCACCCACCCCCAAGGAGCGCGGGAGGCCCCAGCCCCTCGGCTTTGTTCCAGGTCCGCCGGCAGGCTGGCTGCAGCAGCTGTCCGCCGCCGCGGTGCTGACGCGGGGAAAGGGGCACTCCTCAACCGGAACCGAACCAGGAGAGAAGCACGCCGGGCGCGGCTGTCCGCTTTTGCGGTGCTGCTCGGGGAGAGGAGCCTGCCAGCCGCGGGAGCTGTCCCGGAGATGGTGCTGAAGCGAGGAGCCTGCAGCGCCCCCCGCCTCGCCCGGGAAGAACCGCCGGCGGCTGAGAGCTACCGGGAAAGCGATGGAGGGCCGCAGGAAGCCGCCTTCAGGGAGCTCCGCAGCGCGGGGCCTATGGCTAGGGTTTATCTGGCGAACCGGCTCCAGCGGAGGAGGTGGCGGCTCAGCAACAGAGAGCGAGCGCGCGTTCTACGAACCTGTTGGAGGCTGCAGCTCCTCCGCGGCCGAACAGGGCGCCCGGGACCGAGATTCTGGCGCGCCTTTCGCGCCCCACTCTTCCTTGACTCCTCCGCCGAGGCGCTCCCTCCTGCCTGGGCTAGCACATGTGCACTCAGGGGGCGCCGAGCCCCTTTTCGGTCCGCCCCGAATGTCAGCCGAGCTGTAGCGCACAGAGCCGAGAGGCCTCCCCCAAGGGCAGACCCGCTCCCAGGGAGACCCAAGCTTCCTGAGAAAGGAGGCGGGGGCTGGTGGCGGGGACGAGAGAGGGCGCCAGCAGAGGTGGCTGTGAAACCAAGAGGGAAACATGGGGGAGTTCCCTATACAGGCAATTCTGCCCTGAAGTTTGGGGATCTAGGGGTCTGTCACTAGGGGTCCTGCCTTGGAAAAATCTCTGCCTCCCTCTCCATTTGCAGATCTTCTACCTGCTCTGTTGCAAACTCCAGTCACTGGTCTAACTGCCTCTAGTATCTCATTCCAGCCCATCATCTACCATGCCCCAGAGAGTGAGCTTTCTAATAAAATGCTAACTCTTTGGTGTGGCACTTAAAGTCCTTCACCAGCAAGACTCAGTGCCATCTCTCCAGCTGTATTCCCGCCATGACAGGGGACCACCCAGGCTCACCCCGATGCCTTAGCACCTGCTGTTCCCTTTGGCTGAAACGTTTCCCCCTTTATGACTTATGCTTTATCTGCAAGTCAAAGTGTCCCTATTCTCAGTGAAAATTTCCCTGACCCCTAGGTCAAAGTTATTCACTGCTTCTTCTGGGCTCCCATAGTCCTTTACCTCCCTCTACTAGGCTTCTTATCGCATTGTATTATAATTACTCACACATCTATATCCTTAGTTACCAGGCTCATAAAAACCAGGTCATATTTTATTTTTCTCTGTATCTCCATCTCCCAACTGGTGACTGACACACAATAGGTGTTGAATTATGTTTGCTGAATGAAAGGATATGTGAGCAGCAGGGGCAAAACTAACTTCCTTTTCTTCATGTTACTGCCGATTTGATTTCTATATTTGTATCACAACCTGCAAGGCCCTCCCTGGTAACGCCACTGCCTAACCCTTCTGTCTTGTTGCTATCAACTCTCCCCTGACTATTAACTCCACCTACAATGACCTCCATTTTGCACTAAGCTACTTTTTTTTTTTTTTTCCATTTGCCAGTTCCTCCACTGGAAACCACTGTCCCCTTGATTTTCACACGGCTGAATTTTCTAGTCATTTGGATCTCAGCCTCAAATGTCACCTTCTCAAGGGAGCCTTCTCTGGTCACGCTATCTAATATTTGTTTCCCCAACTACTCTAAACATTATCTGTTTCACTTTTTCTTCATACATATTTCTCTATGAAATTATTTTGCTTATGCATTTTCTTGTTTATTGTTGGCTTCTTCCAAACTAGAAAGGAAACTCTACTAGGGCAAGGAACATGTCAGTCCTGTTCACTGCAGTATCTCAGTAGTCAGCATTCTGAGAGGAATTGACCTTACACCAAAGCATTCCTAGTCCCTTTCTCCCTGGAAAGACTGGATTCTGGAATCTTCTATTAGGTATAAATCAACTAAGAATGTTTAAGGAAAGAGGATCACACTAGTGTTTCATGGGAGAGGGGAGGTGAGGAAGGGGAGAGCTACAGATAAGTGGCTGTGAAGTTACAGGCCTGAATCACAGCCCTTTTTTGACTCTGGAGGATAAAACCATAACTTCAGCTTACTTGTCCACATCATACAAAACACTTTCACATCAATGATCTCATTTGGTGTTCACAACACCCCTATTTGGTAGACATTATTCTCCCCATTTTACAGCTAAAACAACTGAGACCTGAAGAAACAGGCTGACTTGACAAAGATCACAGAGCTTGTAAGTGGTGACACTATTTCTGGTACTGTGCTATATGTTGGGGATCTAGAACTAAGGCATGGCTGCTACTCTCCAGGATCTAGCATTAGTAAAAAGCACAGACAAATAAATAATATAATTTGATACATGCTCAGCAGTGTTTCTCAACCTAGCGAGGGGTGGGGAGGGGAAGAAATGGGTAGGTGTCAGAGTCAGAGTAACCTGAAAGTCTTTTCATTAACACTTACAATTTGTTGAGTACTTGCTAGGAGTCAGGCACTGTGCTAAGAATTTTACATAGTTTATCTCAACTAATCATTCCTGCTTAATATCCCTGTTTTATAGATAGCGCCCCCCGGTCTGATGATCCTCTGGCTCAAAGAGCATCTCCCAAGGAGATGGGGCCTAGGGGCAGAGGTGATTTGCCCAAGGTCACCCATCAATTCAGTAGCAGGGTGGGAGTTTGGGAGACTGGGCCTAAAACCCAGGCTCCCAAACTGCTAAGCCTGCTGTGTAACTTTCATAGAGAAGTCTTGAAATCCCAGATGCAGTGACGAGAAGACAAAGCTCTTCTTAGGAAGGTTAAGTAACTTGGCCAAGGTTATGAAGCTGGTGAACAGCTGAAGTGGGACTTAACCTGGGTTTGTTTGACTCAGCATGAGCTTTTAACCACTATGTATCTCGGACTTACGGAATCAGAGTTTCTGGTGAGTAGTGATATTCCTGGGATTTGAAGATGATTCTTAGGTTGCTTTGATATATCTTCACCCCTGTTGAGAAACATTCATGTAGAGAGTGCTTTGAGAGCAGGAGAGGAAGGAAGGAACACTACTTGTGGGGAGGAGCTACAGGAGGTTGAAATTGGACATTGAAGGGTTAAGTGAGGTTTTCCAGGTAAGTGGAAAGCATGGTGGGGAGCATTCCAGACAGAGGAAACAGGATATTCAAAAGCCTTGAGGTGTGAAAATGAGGGAACTGTTAGTGGCTTGGAGTCCCTGAATCTTAGTCATCTAGTGCTGCTACAACAGAAATACCACAAGTGGATGGCTTTAACAAATTTATTTCTTTACAGTAATGTAGGCTAAAAGTCCGAATTCAGGGCATTAGCTCCAGGGGAAGGCTTTCTCTCTCTGTTGGCCTTCTCATCAATCTTCCCCCGGACTAGGAGCTTCTCCACGTAGGGACCCTGGGTCCAAAGGAAGCACTCTGGTCTTGGCACTGCTTTCTTGGTGATATGAGGTCCTCTGTATCTCTGCTTGCTTCTCTCTTTTATATCTCGAGAGATTGCCTCAAGACACAATCCAATCTTGTAGACTGAGTCCTGCCTCACTAACACAACTGCCACCCATCCTCCCTCGTTAACATCGTAGAGGCTGGATTTGCAACATATAGGAAAATCACACAATACTGGGAATCATGGCCCAGACAAATTGATACACACATTTTTGGGGGAACATAATTCAATCCATGACACCCTGGGTGGTACAAAAGAGGTTCAAGTTAACCCAGAGGTGGCTAGGAAGAAAGGCCTGGAGATCTAATTCCAAAAAACTCAGCCATTGACACCCCTATTGAGCATAGCTCTACTCTGACACACATGGGGTTGCCATGAGTCAGAGTTGACTTGATGGCAACTGCTTTTTTACTGGTTGGTGGTTCGGTGTGGATAAAGTGTAAGGTTGATGTAGGCAGTAGAGGATGGAAAATTAGCCTGGAATTTGGTTTGAATTTGACTGCCATGCCTTTATCCTGTAGGCAATGGAGAGCCATTGAAAGGCAAGAACTCTGCTTTAGCAATTGCCACCTTGATCATCCCCATAGTAACAACATTGAATCAATCCCTTAGAATTTGCAAAGCCCTTTCCACTAACATTAGAAATATCACTCTGCATTGATGTGGACCTGAAGCTCCATGAGGTCATCATGCCTGTGGGTTTCTTCTTACTGTTTTCTAGCACCTAGCAGAGCACCTGGACCAATGTAGGTGCTCAGTAAGTATTTGTTGAAGAGGAAGGCACTGGATGCAGGGGGTTCAGTTTATAGGCATTTGCTATTTTATGTAAGAGAGAAGTGATGAGAAGCATCACTTAACCCAGTAGTGCAGAACTCTTTGAACTACCCATTCCAGAAAGTCAAATTCTACCCTTCTTCCCCCAAGAGCACCTTGGGGAGGCTGGAATTTAGCTCTCCAAAATGGCTGCTGAATAATAGTAACAATTTTCCTCTGCAACTGTACAGGAAAGCCTATTGGCACCAAGGTGACCAACACCTGGCCAAGCCAGGATTTCCTCTATTGTATGAACTTTATGTCTTTTGGCTCCTGGATTTTGGTCCCGATGGTCTCTATTATGTGGCAATAACATTATATGCCATCATTTGTTTCAGTGTTTTCAAGGAAAATTACCATGCTAATGAAACTCCTGTCTTGGCGTAAGAACTAAAATCTACCTTCTGTCTCTCCACTCCTTTGGGAAATCCACATGGACCCAGGTAATGGCTACTTTATAGAGGGAGGGCTGACTTGTATCTGGTCCCTTTAAAGTCCTTGACATATGTTAACCCTATGAGGTAGGGATGACTCTTATCCCCATTTCATGAATAGGAAAACTGAAGACAAGGAAGTCAAAAGACTTGCCCAAGGTGACACCCTGACAGAGGCAGGCTACAAACCCAGGCTGTTTGACGCTTACATTGGCATGCTCCAACCATTACACCAGATGGCCTCCCAGATTAAATATTTCCGTTATGTTTCTTTCCAGACCTGTGTAACCCTGGACAGATCATTTCATCCCTGCAAGCCTCAGTTTCCTGTTCTGTGAAATGGGGATTAAAAATAACTACCAGGGAAAGTGTTGAGGGAAAATAAATGAAGTAATGTATTGAACATCTAAATGGTGCTGTCCATATGGTGTTGGTTTCTTTCCTGGTCTTCCTTATTTTGGCAAGTGACTCCACCATCTGCCTCGATGTTTGGGCCACAAACCCAGGGGCCACTGTTGAATTCTCCTCTTCCCTCAGCATCAGTTCATCAGCAAGTCATTTAAGCTCTTCCACCAAAGTATATTCTAAACTAGTGTTCTTCTTCTCTCTCTCTCCACCACAACCCCTCTAGTCCAAGTTATCATAATCTCCTTCCTGGACTGCTACTACAGCCTCTTTACTGGTTTCTGATTCCGCTATTTCTCCCCAAAATTATTTCTAAAGTATATACACTCATACAAAAAAGGATGCAAATCATGTGAACAGCATGGTGAATTATCCCAAAGTGAGCACAACTGTGTAACCAACACCCAGGTAATGAAACAGAACA